TTAATACTTGGATAGATGGATGAACACATAGATTGATAGACAGATGAAAAGATGGATGCATACACTCAGGCTGATGCATTACCGTTTGTAGCATATACATCTCTCACACATCCCTGCACTCTGTAAGTACTGTCTACAAAGTCAATTCTACTGTAGCACGCACTAACTATTTCGCTAAAATAAATAAATACATGTAACCATGACTAATAGGGCCATGTCTCCTGAATGTTAGCCAGTACTTTATGCAAACCTCTTCTTTATGCAGCAAGATGAAAAGATACATTTACAAAGGGTCTCAGAGAAACCATAGGTCTGTGTCTGCCTTCAGACACATATACCCAGTTCCTCTCTGAGCTCCCAGAAAAGCACCTAGTGCTGATCAGAAATCAAGTGTTAGTGGACTCTTTTTTTTTTTTTTTTTTTTTTTTGAGATTCCACTCAACAAAGTATGAAAAGTAGAGTATCAGCCATCATCCTGCGACTTGATGAGTTGAAGGGTTTTGCTGGATGAGTTTGCATTCTCCACTCTGATTACTGTTTTGTTTTCCATTGATCATCCTGTGTTAATAAAACCCAGTCTGGAGTGAACAAAAGCTTGCTTCTTGTTCTAGCAAGAAATGTGCTGAGTGCATACCATATCATTAACATAAAAGTTTTTTAAATAATACCGCTTTCTAGACAGACTGTATTAACTGCATGAAGCTTTTTACAGCAGGGTGGTCTAATCTAGCTCTTCTTATTGCCTGACTCCAGTTTAAAACCAACACAAAATGAATACAGTGATATAATTGAAGGAGGGAAAAGTATTCTTTTTAAACCTATTATTTACATACAGATACTTCTTTTATCTTTACTGTCACTTTAACATTTGTTGAGAAAGCACCAGACTTGTTAAATGATGCTGTAAGTAGAATTTCAGTAGCCAAGTAGATTGATATTAACTTTACGAGATGACTGTGTGATTTTCAAAATGTCCTAATGACTAACACAGTCGATTCCTTGAAATAACAGGAGCTTATTCCTCTCTTCTGTGCTATGGCCCCCTGCCTTCCTCTATTTTAGACCTTAAACTTCACAGCCCTGACCATTAATCACTGCTGTCCATGTCCACTTGCTGTTTTTATATATGCAACTAAGTATCATAATTGCTTTCCACCTCCTTCCATCAACCTACACATGGGAAGGAAGCAGTTTCACTGGTTAGCTGAATATATGTGTATTGGACAGATTTAATTATCTTTACAAAGGTGTATAAAACCCTCACTCATGGGCCCAGGTCCAAAGATTTTGGATCAGGCATATATCTGAATGCAGGCATAGCGGATAAATTATTATCTGTGCCATTACAATCTCCTTTGTCTTATGCTGATTAGAATTCCATTTGGGGGGCTTTTGCACTGTCGTATCTTCAGGGCAGGGACTTCTTTCTTTGGAGAGCACACTGTAAAGTGCCATGCACTTCTGTGCTGAGATTTTCAAAGCTCATTTCTCGTTAACTTTAATGGGAAATGGGCATCCAAATCTCTTAGGCAGCTTTGACAATTTAAGCCTTAATGTACAATATTAATAAATCAGCATCATAAAAAGAGCCTTATGAAGATGTATTGTGAAAAAATAGCCCCACAAAAAGCATTGCGATGTATGTGTGCATGCATACAGGCATATACTTTTCTTTACATAATTACGTCTCTCAACAATCATTTGCATGCCTCTGTTATGCAAAAAAACCTGTGTGTGTTTTACAGTTACTCTGAGCAGTTGCAATTCGTTGAAACGAAATAAAAAGCAGGCTCAAAAAAGCACCCTAATCTGGCAAGGGGTAAAGCAAAATGAATGTTCTGCCCATTTATATTTTAGATCCAAGCTACACAACCCTGTGAATTTCATGACTCTATTCCAACTTCTAATTAAATAGGCACTAAAAACATTTAAACGGGAGAACCCGATTCAACAGACAGAAGCCTCTGAGACAAAAAAAAAAAAACAAAAAAAACAAAAAAAAACAACTAAAAAGACTGAGAGAGATTGTTCCAGTGGTAGGTTTTGGTTTTTTTAAATCACATGGAAAAACATACACCTTTACTCACAAATTCCCGTCCTGTGGTGCCTGAAAAAAAGGGATTGAACAAAGATAGAGGGTACCATGACCAGCACTGGCCAAGCAACACACTGGACACCCAAGTGGACTTCCCAGCAACATTTACTGTGATAGAAACTACCACCAGCATGCTTTCTAAAAATTGCAAACAGTTCTGGATGAAGCAGCACAACTTTCCCTGTGCATGACTGAATGCTACTCAGCATCCCAGGCAATTGTTCTTATCTTGGTTGGAGATTTCCAAATGCAGTTTTCATACATGTGTACCCCAAATCCCACTGGCAGCCAGAAGTTTAGATTCTCCATGACAAAACTGCTGGGACTCTTGAGGGTCTGATTTGTGAGTGCCTAGCAGAGATTTGGGAGTACCTGCAACTTCAAGCCTTCAGAGTCACGGCCTGCTTGAGAACTGCATGGAAAAACTCCAGGTCCTGACTTAAATGAATGCTGAAAAACAGGAAAGGTAAGATATGATGAAGGAGGAGGAGAGGCGGGAACTGGTGATGGCTTTTGTTCAAAGAAGGAAACAATTCCTCAGAAGCAAGAACAGGGCTGACAGCATAAAAGGCTAATCAAGTCAGAGAGACAAGCAGATCTCTAAAGCTGTAGCAAGTGACTGTTGTAAATGTCTATATTAAAAAAGAGAGCACAATGCAGGGATCATCACCAGATTATTAGTCAACACAAAGAACTCGCTTTTCTTTTATTTCCACAAAACCTTCTGGGGACTAGAAAGATCCCATAACCCTTGCCACAGAGCTTAAACCATGCGCAGGCTCATATACAGTGAATACTACAGGAGCTAAGAAAGGGTTAAGTAGATATAATCTCCTTTTTCAAGGGAAGAAAATGTTTCTTTCAAGCAGACCTTGACCAACTACTGTCATAAACATGTAGCATGCTCTTTGATATAACCTATTCTCTAAGTGCCGCAGACTGCAGCAGTAATTACAGGAAGCCATGATAACAGGTCTCTCTCTCCACAGAGCTGGCATCACTCTCCCAGCAAACAGGCAATTCTGAAAACTCACAGTGCACAAATCCACAGTGAGAACTTAAAGTACGCAAAGTACAAAAGCCTGGCCTTCCCACGTTCTTTAATAAGTTATTCCTTCCTTCCTTTTCTATTTTTAGTTGTACTTGCTTCCCTCCCCACAAGCTGCTGGCATCAGAAGCAACAGGGAACCAGGGCATCCAGTTCACTGTTACAACTACCTGCCTACTAAAAGCACCTGTGCGCATACTGCGTCAGTGAAGACAGAGAACAGCAAAATACGAGATCAGCTCCAGTCCGGATTACTGGTGACACAGAGAAGGAACTGGGGAGGCAGAGGAGCTATCTTACTTTCTGATCCAACACTCAGTTTTGGAAGAGCCCACCTCTACGCTTGTCTCAGGCCAGTTGGTCAATCTGCTGAGGCTGATGAAGCAGAGCCTAATTAAAAACAGCAACCCCCCCGCATTTGGTATGGCAGCTTGGCTTAGGAAATCTAATCAAATCCCATGGATGCACTGACTGAACCACACCACATAATGCATTGTTGCAAGCCCACTCCTGCGCCCTGGCGCAAGTGGCTGGGTGCAGGATAAGCCTCTTCCAGGCAGCACAGGAGCCTTCCTCACATGCCTTGAGCTTCACCCGGGGTCGAAACAGGATCCTGCAGAGTGCTCTCAGCCTCCTTCTGAGAACATTTATCTTTCAGGACAAAGGTTTCCAAGATGCAAATTTCAATTTCTTGCAAAACTTTTGTCTTGCTCTATTACAACGAGAGATGCACAAGGACATTATCATGAAATATAGCATACTGCAGCCATGTGGTACCACTGCCTGTGGAAGGAACAGCTGAGTGCAGCAAAGTTTTGCCAGCTTCAAGAGGACATGAGGAGCAATTTCCCAAAGGCTTAACTCCTGCCAGTTGTTACTGTCTCTCTAAATCCTCTGGTCCTCACGCCTTATTTATCCAACATCATTCTGGGAACTCCCTATTAAAACTCCATGCATGTTAGCATGAATGAGGGCTGCAGGGTTTGGCCCACCACAGTGAGACTCCATAAACACTTGTGGATTTTGCCACAGCTGTATTTTCCTTCAAGCCCTCCCCATTTTCACCTCTCCAGCCCGCAGTTCACCATAGACCCAATCTTGCAACTGAGCCATGCTCAGAAACACCCACTGATTTCAAAGAGATTGCTGGGTCTGAAATGATGGAGTCTGGCGACAATATGTCCGTGTCCTCTTTGGCTAGCTTGGTACACCCTCATTTCCACATCACTTTCCCCTCCTTGCGGTGACAAAAGTCAAGCATCCAAAAGGAATAAAGGAAAAGAAAAGCCGACAGGGGAGAGGCAAGGGATGCGTGGCAAGTTACCAAGGAGCATTTTCTCAAAACAAGGGAGAAAATGGCATGGAGCACATACATCCTGCGTGCACATGGATGCGGAGGAGAGCTTTTAATACAAATGGTTGCGGAGGGAGGAAGGAAGGAAAAAAAAGGAGAAAAAAAACCCAAACCAACCTCAGATGTTAAATGTTATCCAATTAAGCTTAAAATAAACAGCCCAGAGAGATGAAATCTTGATACTGGGGTATCACGTTCTGTGAGGAGTCTCAAACATTTGTTCACAGCGTGGCACAAACAGCCCGGCAGTGGCCACTGGTGACAGCTGAAGGTGGGCAGGCAGGAAGGGAGGGATGAGGAAATGGAAGGAGTCACACGCCCTTTCCCACTCCCCGTCCTCCACCAGGATGGAGGAGGAAGAAGGGAGGGAAGGGGGTTGGTTTAGGGCATTTTCTCTGCCTTCCCCACATGACCCAGCGAAGGCAGCTCTCCCACAGCAAAGACGACATCACTTGGCAGCACTACTGACCTTCAGATAGCAACAAAAAAAACGTTTCTATTACCTGACAACTGACAATGACATCCAAATGTGCCTGACGTCTCAGTCTGAATCTCAGTCTGAGTCCCGCCAACTGAGACTGCACGTGCACCACAGCAGGGCAGGCTAAGGCAGGGCGGGAGGGAGGCCAGTGCGCGGAGAGGTGACGTGATCACGGATGTGTGAGGGTGGGAGGAGGCAGCTATGGGAGCCCCCGGCAGGTTTGCAGGCCTGGACGGCCCTGGAGAAAAAACAATAGAAAAAACTGTCAGTCGTATCTAAGTTTGAAGGGACAGAGGAGGCATCATCAGGGGAAACAGGAGAGGCGGGTGCTGGCTGCCTAACACACGACACACTTGGTCTGAACACCTCTCTGAGTCCGGCTGAGGCTGACAGGCTCACACCGGATGGGGGAAGAGCAAGAAGAGACCTGGGGCACCTGCAAACCACTGCTGGGGGCTGTGGGGGGCACAGAATGGGGGGAAGTGGTGGGGAGAGGTTTGGCTGGCCATGGCATGGAGCAGAGCCAGAGACAGCGGACGTTAGCATCGGCACTTGCTCAGGAACTGAATCAAAAGGGGGATTATTGTTTTATGGCTGTGTTAACGTATTGAGCTGACACAAAACTGGGCAGGCTTTCTGCCGAGCCGTTGTTGAAGCAGGCTCCATGCACCAGCCTGGACAAAATGTGGTGACTTTGAGCTCAAATGGCTTCAGCGAGGTGCCAGGAGCTGAGCTCCCAGAATAAAGCATTGGAGGCCACTGTGCTGCCTTCCCGCTTGAGCTGCGGACAGTTGTGCATTTTGCATGACCTGACTATGCAGGCTGCCTCCCTACTGTGTCTGTGAAGAAGGGAGCAACCTCGTTCCTGGTAGCTAAAAGATGATATTGTAACCTCCAACCATATTATTTCTTTTTAACCCCTCTAGGAATCACCTGCCATGTATAAGCTGTACTTAGGAGTTTTCTCCTGCTCCTGGCATTAGTCCAGACTGAGCTCCACAGCTTTGAAAAACTAAGACATGAGTCTTAAATATCAATATACACCTGCTCAAATACAGATATGCACAAACAAATACACATACACACAGAATCAGGTAGGAGTCACAGTTTTGGCTGGCACGACATAGCAGAGTTTAAAGGGAAGTCAAGCAAACAGCATCACTTTACATTCACCAAGAATCCCACCCCCTTCATTTAAAGCTATGTCTGGCACTTAATTATTAAATAAAGGGTAGCTACTCATCAAGGGCAGTTTCTAAATGAAGATACGTAGTGGAGTGGTCGCCATTGAAAAGCTGGCATTTGCCAGCAGTTACTGCACAGTGGTAGATCAGAAACCACAGTTTCCCCCTGTATTTAGATCAGAAAATATGTGCGTTACTTGGGGGATATCTTCTGGCAAATGCTGGGGGTTTTTTTTTGCAATGGTGGCAATTCTGTCTGTGCATGCATGTGTGCCATGCGCATACAGGCAAACACCATAGCAAAAAGAAGAAATGTCTATCTGCACTCCTTCCAACTCTAGAAAATTTTTCTGAAGGAGCTTACACTGTGGCTGCAAGGAGAAATATTTATCCGTATTCCCTCCAACCCTAAAAAAGCAACATTTTCCAAGGGAGCCTCTCCACCTCGAGAGTCCTGATTCACAAACTAGGCCTGCATGTTGATCTGACAGCTACACATGAGGCAAACAAGGATACTTCATCTTTGGCACAGCATCCAGTGCTCCAGTCTGCAAGGACTGCATTTGATTTTGTCGTTTATCTTAAATGGCTAAGAGACCACCAGTGCAAAACATTTGTGTGAAGCTTTTGCCAAAACCACAAGTGAAGAGCCTAAATTCCCTGTGTAAATACTTGAGCTTCAAGCATCAAGGATAAAATTTGTGCTCTTTTGTGAGGACTGGTTTTAAATAGAAGCCATCTATGTGGCTCATGGGATGAGGAAGGATTTTTTTTTTATTTTAGGGGCTCAGTTGCTTGGCTTTCATAACTGTTTGATCTCCCTGGAAGTATTACACAAGCAGGTAATGATAACTGCTATTCAGATTGCACCTATGTTGCATTTTGGGCAGGACTGTGTGCTAGGCATCTGAAAACCAATGTCAGACATAGATTTCTATGTGTCTCTGGACCACTCTACTGCCACTGTAACATATCTGAATAACAAGGTAGTTTTTTTCTTGGAACAAGCAAAAAGTATCAATGATTCCCTCTAATGACTTAACAATTGTATCTTACATTCCTAATATTACAAAAAAAACTAGGCTAGCACAGGCTTTGTTGGGCTACCTGGGTACTCACCCCTTCTGGGAAAGTTGTGAGCTGGAATTCAGGATTTAGAGTAGGACCACAGGGCAGCTACATCTCAGGTTACACCCAGACATGCCTGTGGTGCCACCACAACCAAGGGCACACGTCCTGCAGTCGTTTGCCCCCTGCACATCATGGTGCCAGACTACAGGTTTTGAAGGAGATCATCACACAGAGGTACTATATGAAGTTCACCAAGTGCAGCATCAACCACAACTGCATGGGGTTTTAACATGGAGGTGCATTGGTCCTAGCATGCAACATTACCCTGAGAACAACAGCCTCTCAGTTCTCTAGTCCTGGTGGGTCCCACCTACCCACTGGCAATGAATTTGGCACAACTGGCACAGTCCTGAGGCATCCAAGAAGATGGTAAGAGCTCACCAAATGGGTACAGGGAGCCTCTCTCTGCCCTTGTCCAGTACATCTCCTCTAGTGTGTAATGGGAGCTAAACTTTCAGATAGGAGATTTCTAACCATCTGGGCAAAGGAATCCTGTAAGAGCCTTACAACAGAGGTACTGGGGGCAAGCCAGCAATCCGTTTTAACAAGGTACCTAACAAATTTATGGGAAGGAATATGTGAACCAGTTGCCAGTGAATGGATGGAACTGAACATGTTACTCAGAAGGTCCTTTTCTGTCCTTTGATGTATACATGAGGAAATTTAAAAGGTGCTAACCTAGTATCAGAAAGGAAAGGGTTTGTAAGGAAGAAGAAGAACGGGCAAAGAGAGACTCTGGCAGATGCTCTGGGAGTCCCACCACCACTCCTGAGTCCAACACTGAGAGAGAAAGACCGTGGAGCTGCCAGACCAGGAGGCTGAGTCTGCCCCTGCAAGTCAAATCAAGTGATTCCTCCTCATCTTTGCTGCCACTTTAGGGTTTGCTTCTTTGTCACAAATTAAGACAGTCCTATAGAATGAGATCTAGTGGCAAATCATGAAGAGGGAAATCGTAACCACTGCCTCAAGGAAAGGAACTCTCTACCATTAGGTACATGACACCTCTTCATAGCTATGGAAAGAATAACAGTGGTGCTCAGAAATGCTCAGCTTGTGTTCACTAGGAACAGGCCCATATTTTACCTCTGCAGCTCCTCTTCTGTGGGATTTTTCCCCATAAAGGCTCTATTTCAAGCTGAAAACAAAGACAGGGGCTCTACTGTTGATGGACAAACACAAAATGAACAAAGATTAAAAGAGAAACAGACATAAGCAGATAGACAGACGGTATCCTAAGGTGGTGCTGAGTTTTCTGCTCACCCCATGCAGCAGCAGCTGAGGGAGGGGAGCCAATCTCTGGAATTCTACGGCCAATCAACCACATCATGTTGCACATAGGTTTCAAAAAGAAAACACTCCTGCAAGCCCCTGACTGCCACAAACAGCAAAGCCACAACTGGCACTAAGGGAAAGCAGACCACAAGAACCGCAGTGCAATCTTAGAGCAAATATCCAATCTGGATGGAGTGAGCAGGCATGAATGGTCACACACATACAGTTCTGTGTCACTTGGACATCAATGACAAAGATGCATGAGGCTCAATTTTCCTCTTGTGTCTGCACTGGGAAATCACTCACCTGCACTGCAGATCTGAATTACATATTCTGCATTCATTCTGCAGGAATACAGCATGAGTGTGAAACATGCACAGGGACTGTCACCGTGTAAATAAAAGATGTGCATCGCTGATGGTAAAGGAGGATTTTGTCCTCATGCTTTAAGCAGGCTCGACATACACCCGGTGCCTGTACATGGCAGTAGCTCACAGGTTATGTTGACTCCCAGGCACTACTAAGAGTAATTTTTTTGCTCTCTTCTATTTTTAAACTTGCAAGAAGAAAATAAGGTAAATTGGACATGACCCCAGAAGATGGAAATGAACAGAAGAGCCTAGATAATCATGACAAAAGCCACAATCAAGGCATAAAATGAATTCTTTTGTGTGTCTCTCCCTGAGCCTAGGCACAACTGGCCATATGATATGGCATATGTAAAACACTACGCTACTCCGGCACATCTGCAGAAAAGTCCCTGAGTAAAGCACAAAGATGGAGCCGCAAGCAGCATTCGCAATGTCCCACCTCAGCATGGTTCAGACCAGGGGACCCAACCTTAATTTAAGAGATCTTGCTTTATGTCTCATGTCACATGTAAATGCAGCCACATGTAGCTGTGTAGTTAGTATGATGTCCCTTGGGGTGTTGTGTGCTTGCCTGCGTGGGTGCCTGGGTATGTATCTGTGTACAGGCGGACAAGCATGTGCACAGGCAGACATGTAAGCCACTTAACAGGGCACGAACCAAGTTTTTCTGTGTGTCTCTCTGTGCCTGTCTGGTGATGTAAAATCATTCAATAGCTGGTTAGAGACTAAAGCTCATCTCCATTATTAAAAAACACGCTTTCAATAAAAAGAAAAACATCTGTTCAAACAGTGTACAGCCACAAACGCAGAGTGAACGCTGCAGCCTCATGCCTGCCCTGTGCCCAACATGTTCAGGGAGAGTACTGCAGATGTTTTGAGATGGGTTTTTATATATACCATTGCAGCAGCTTTGAACAGGCACATCCAAAACTGAAAGACAGATCTATTCACTAATCTTTCCAACAGATTTCTCTTTCAAGCTTTTCCTAAAACAAGATGTCTCATCTCTATTACACCCTCTCATATAGACTGCCCCTACCTGATATTATCTTTCTACCATGCCTTTCTATACAGACACCAACAGGGTTGACAAAGCAGATGTGCACAAGCACATATGTGTACACACACACACAGAAGATACCCGTGTACACACACACGCAGAGGATACACATGTGTACACACACACACAGAGGATGCAGATGCACAAACATTTCCAACAGCAACTAGCAAAGTAATGCATGCATACCCTGCAAGTGACAGACACACAGAGCATCCACCAG